CTGTTCCCCTACATGGATCGCCACAGGTATCTTCAAATTTCTGACTTTTGTGAGTCTAGATAAACATTCACACAGTTTTCTCAGAATTCCTATGGTCAAGTATCTTCTCTTTTATAATAGATTATCCAGATACTTCCATCATGTTTTCTTACATTCAGCAGCACACATAGCACAGTTAGAAACGCCCGTTCCCAGGCCATGTCTGCCTGTCAGCTGGTCTAGACATCCCTTCTAAATTTGCAATAAACTATAAAAATTTATTAACAATGAAGAAAAATTAGAGGTATCAGATACTCCAAAGGAAATGAGATTTAAAATAAATTCTAGAAAGTGGTTATTTTGGGAAGGGACTGGGACTAGGAAAGGGGACATATATAGTATCTCATCTCTAAAAAAAATCTGAAGCAACTGTAACTACTGAGATGTGATAAAGCTGGGTGGTGATTATATTGTTTATTATTTTGTTCTCTACACTTCTGGTTGAACCACTTGAAGTCATTAAGAAATGTTAAGTAGTTACTGTGGTAGAAAAGACATAACATGAATGTGGTTGGAGTACAGTAATTACTGTGAAAATAAGCAAGACTCATGAACTTCATTTTAAATCTCATTGAAAAGTGCAGGAACACACAAACACACACACAAGGACTGCTTCAAAAAGGATTTTTAAAACAACCGTGAGGACTGTGAATTTCACTGAAATTAGTTCGTATGTATTTATGTTATATATTTATTAACAGTTGGAATAAAAGGATACTAATTTTCAATTTTTCAGAGTTTATTTATAAAGAAAAAAATACAGAATGATTTTAATAGACAAAGTACCCAATTCCTTCTTATTTTCTTTCTTAGTGGGTGGGGGGGGGGAAGTATATAAGACACAATTGTTGTGACCTGTATTGATTAATCTTACAAGTGATGTTGACAAAAACTATAAAAATCTAAGCTTTAGAGAACAGTCATGTTGCCACTGGGAGTGTATATGTACATTAGTGTAAGTTAAACTCAGTCTGTATCCATACAATCCTTTTACACCCTTTTGCATTATCATTTGGCTTTCCTTAACCCCTTCCGTTCTCCACGAGATTTTAAGCAGGACGGATACCTGGCACATTCTCTCATCTCCTGCCAAAGAGAGCGGAGGTGGAATGTTCTCCCAGCCTCCATTCTCCTTTACTTTTATTCCTGTTAGGCCTGCTTTGCATCCTTGCTAAGATTCATAGGAGAGCAGGACTCTGCACTAAGATGAAGAATCAGGAAATCAGTCTGGGCACTTCCCTGCCCCCTGGTGGTGCACAGGGAACACAAGCAGGCCGGAGCAGTCTGGCTCTTTGCAGGGTGGGGCACTAAATTCACAGACCAAGTGAGACAAGAGGAGACAGAGAAGCAGCGATTCTGTGCACTAGAACAGACTGGATGGTTGCTGCAGGCATCTTCTCTGTGTCTCTGACCTGTCAGCAGTATGAGGTCTAATGAGAATCTTCAGGTAAGTGCCCTCATGATTAGTGGGCCCCCAGGAGCCATGGGGAAGGTTGGGGAACGGCATATCCCACAGGTGAAAATCTTGACCGGCTACATTGATTTTTTTAATTATAAAAATAATAACATTATAGTAAATATTTATAATAGGAATAAGAAATCATAGAAACTTGCTGCAACAGTGTTTTCATGGCCTCCTCCTTTATTGACTTGAGACTTACAACCTAAGTGTCTGATCTTTTTATTTAACATTATCCCAAATGGTAACAATGGTAGTTATGATTAGGAAGAAAACAGGGGCATTTGAAGTGAGAAGCATTTGTACGGTGTTGTTGCCTGGGACCACCCCACAAGCTTCTCTGGGTAATGGAGGTAAGGGGGCTCCTTCGATAGTGGAGATGGTAGAGGCTTAGCTTGTATCACTCTAGGCCAGAGCCCTGGGCCTGGCTAATCTGGGCTGTGTGAAAACCCTGTCCCCAAGAGGATTGTTGCTAGAAGTTTCCCACCTTGTCCCTGTAAGAACAGTGCAAGAATGTAGGGCTGGTGTACCTCCAACCAGAACCCCGAGGGAGCATGATAAAGGGACTGAAAGATGCTGTTTAAGGACGAAATTTTACTCAGATCAGTTCTCAGCCTGCCTTTCCCAAGTTTCTGTATCCACCAGACTGGAAACTTTCTGAAAGAAATGCCCGAGATTTCTCCATTGCCCTTTTAGCCCAGGACCAGGTAAAAGAATTAAATAATGATCAACAAAATCCTCATCTAAAACAGTTGTTGTCTACTACTGCCCCAGCCTCTGGGCTGCATCATCGCTTCTGAACATGAAACCACCAAGGCAGTCTGGCCCAACAATGAGCCATTTCCTCCTAGGGAAAACTGGTCGCATGTGCAAAGACCCTCTTCCAAAGCCAAATGCCCACTTCCTGGCCCTCAGGGACTTTCCTCTCATTGGTCTCAGCTGGGCCATCAGTTCTTTGAGAAGATGCTACTGGGCTGCAAATGGGTAGGAGGCAGTGGGTGGAAACTGCTGGGATATTGAGGAGTTGGCAAGGGCCTCTGGGGACCAAGTCCTTCAAATTCAACACCTACCAAGACCATAATATATGTTCAATAATATTTAAATAATGGTTGCATAAAACTAAATTAACAAGAAACCTATGATACTCTATGTACAAAACCTGAAAGACTCCACCAAAAAATTGCTAGAATACATGAATTCAGCAAAATCACAGGATATAAAATCAATATACAGAAATGTTGCATTTCTACACACCAATAATGAAGCAGCAGAAAAACAAATCAAGGAATTGATCCCATTTACAATCACACCAAAACCAGTAAGATACCTACGAATAAACCTAATCGAAGAGCTAAAAGATCTGTACTCTGAAAACAATAGAACACTTGTGAAAGAAATTGAAGACCACACAAAAAATTGGGGAAAAAAAATCCCATGCTCACAGGTTGGAAGAACAAACATTGTTAAAATGTCTATATTACCCAAATCAATCTACATATTTAATGCAATCCCTATCAAAATACCACCAGCATTTTTCTTCTATAAATTTCTTCAAATTTATATGGAACCACAAAAGACTCCAAATAGCCAAAGTAATCCTAAAAAACAAAAGCAAAGCTGGAGGCATTGCAATTCCAGACTTCAAGCTGTATTACAAAGCTGTAGTCATCAAGACAGTATGGTACTGGCAAGAAAGCAGACATATGGATCAGTGAAACAGAATAGAAAGCCCAGAAATAGACCCACAACTGTATGGTAGCATAATCTTTGACAAAGCAGGAAAGAATATCCAATGGAAAAATAGACAGTCTCTTCAACAATGGTGTTGGGAAAACTGCGCAGTGACATGCTGAAGAATGAAACTGGACCAATTTCTTACACTATACACAAAAATTAATTCAAAATGGATGAAAGACCTCTTTGTAAGAGGTCAAAATCCTGAAGGAGACCAAAGGCAGCAACCTCTTTGACCTTGGCCAGAGCAACTTCTTTCTAGACACATCTCTGGAGGCTAGGGAAACAAAAGCAAACATGAACTACTGGGACCTCATCAAGATAAAAAGCTTCTGCACAGCAAAGAAAACAATCAACAAGACTAAGAGTCAGTCTACAGAATGGGAGAAGCTCTTTGTAAACAACATAGCTGATAAAGGGTTAGTACCCAAAATCTGTAAAGAACTTATCAAACTCAACACCCAAAAAACAAATAATCCAATTCAGAAATGGGCAGAAGACATGAAGAGATGTTTTCCAAAGAAGACATCCAGATGGCTAACAGACACAAGAAGATTCTCAGCATCACTCATCATCAGGGAAATACAAATCAAAATCATGATGATACCACCTCACACCTGTCAGAATGGCTAAAATTAACAACACAGGAAACAACACATGTTGATGAGGATGAGGAGAAAGGGGAACCCTCTTACATTGTTGGTGAGAATGCAAACCAGTGCAGCCACTCTGGATAATAGTATGAAGGTTCCTCAAAAAGCTAAAAATAGAACTATCCTACGACCCGGCAATTGCACTACTAGGTATTTATCCAAAGGATACAAAAATACAGATTTGAAGGGCTACATCTACCCTGATATTTATAGCAGCATTATCAACAATAGTCAAACTACGGAAAGAGTCCAAATGTCCATTGACTGATGAACAGATAAAGAAGTGTCATATATACATATGGAACACTACTCAGCCATCAAAAAGAATGAAATCTTGCCATTTGCAACAACGTGGATGGAGCTAGAGTGTATTATGCTAAGTGAAATAAGTCAGTCAGAGAAAGACAAATATATGATATCACTCATGTAAAATTTAAGAGACAAACAGATGAACATATGGGAAGGGAGAAAAAAGAAAGAGGGAACCAAACCATAAAGATAGAAAACAAACTGAGGGTTGATGGAGGGAGGTAGGTGGGAGATGAGCTAAATGAATGATGGGTACTAAGGGCACTTAGTACAAGGGCACTTGTGATAAGCACTAGATGTTATATGTAAGTGACAATTCACTAAATTCTACTCCCAAAACCCATGTTACACTATATGTTAACTATAATTTAAATAAAGATTTGAAAAAGAAAAACAAAAAACAAAAAGCCCAAAGCAGAAGAAAAGCTCTAGGGATGGGAAGTGTGTGAGTATACATGGGGGAGAGCCTTTGCTACTCCCAGAACATCCTCCCACTGCTGATAATGCTGTCTTCCATTCACGTAAGCCTTGGAGGTCCAAGTGACCTCTGCACTGGGAGGGAAGTGAGAAGACTGAGGATGGGGGTATCTGTTTAGACTACGTGTCAGGGGTGGGAGAGATGTCACACAGCTCATAGGCTGCACAGGGTTTCATTCCCAGCCCTCAACTTACAAATTCCTCCAGGGGTGGACACTGAGCCCAACCTGGCTGGGCCCTGATGAGTCTGGTCACTCTTGGGAGCAGAAGGCCAGTGCAGGCAACTCCTTACCCCAGAACCACTCACACTTTTCTTACACAGGTAATCCATGTTCATTATGGAAAAAAGCCACATCACTCTTTATTGGACGCTAGCACCAACACCAGCCCCCTTCTCTCCAGGCATAGGGGCATGTGGGCAAGGGGCTCCGTCCCCCGGCTGGGATGCAGTGGAAGCCTGCCCCCACTACTACTCTCCTAGCGCCAGCACCCTCTTCAGTGCCTGGGGCTGCTTGCTCAGGTTTGTTCAAACTCCTGCTCACAGTAGCCTATATTGAGGGGTTGGGCCTGGACACCTCGCCTGCAAGAGGACATGAAGAAACAGGACAAGATGAGCCGCTCAGACAGGGGTCAGTCTGAGGCTCCAGCAACACCTCCACCACAACCAACAGTCTCCCCTTCCCTTATTTCAGTGGATTTCAAACTGCCACTGTACACCAGAATTACTCGGGCATCTCATTTCCAGAGATTTCTTGCTCGGCCTAGGGTCATGTGTTGGCAAGAGTCTGCATCTGAACAGTTGCCCCAGGTGATTTTGACACAGGGACATCCAGGAATTTGAGGGGACACCTCCCTATTTCTAATCTGCTTGTCTCTGTACCCGGGTCCTAAATAACTCAGGACCTTTAGAAAGGAGCTGATGCCTAAGGGGTGCCTAGTGTTCTTGGTCCACTGAGCCCCCCTTTAATGACTCCAACGCTCTAAATGCAGTGGTGGTGGGGGACCAATATGCTGTCCTGTCCCTGCAGAGGTGTGGACATGAAATCCTTTTCAGCCTCACAAGTTCCAGGATGTGACCAGTCTCCATAGGGGACCTCTGGGCATGCCTCCTCTATTATCCAAATGAGCAACGTGCTTAGAGATGGTAAGGAACAGGCTCAAAGTTGCCCAGTGAATTTCAGGCAGTTGAGGCCTAGGCCTTGCCATGGCTGGCTCTCAGCTCTGCACCAGGCTGCGTCCATCAGTTCCTCAAGACTTAGTCAATGAATAAATCAGGGAAATGACCACCTTATGCAGGCCCATCCCCAACACTGGCACAGCTGTCATGGGAGCCCATAAAGGCATAGCCATGGCTAAGCACAGAGACTATGAAGCTGGCTTGCATCAAATCCTGGTTCTGAGTGATTACTTACTTAACTTCTCTGTGCCTCAGTGTCTATCTCTGAAGTGGGGATAAAACTACCTACTTTACAGGGTTGTGGTTAAGATTCAATGAAATAAGGCCCATAAAAAGCTGAGAACTGTGCCTGCTGCACAGTAAGTCTCTGTAAGCGTTAGCTATTCTTAGTATTCTTTTCCTGTCAGTAAGCCCCCAACTTGCCCACCCATTGTGGGAAGGCCCCAACATGGCTTGCTTACCTTAGTAGCTCACAGCGGAATTGTGTCAGACGTTTTAAGGCAAAGTCCAGGAGAGTCACCGACTCGTTGCTCCACAGCCTTTCAGCAACAGCCCCTGCCCTGGGCCTGGAGGGAAGGGTCATGTACCAGGTTGGCTCCTGTATTCCCTGCAAAGGTTCTGGACACCCACAGGCTACTCTCTCCTATTTAGGCACCCTGGACTCAGGGCCAAGGTTATTCAGAGCAACAACCTGGCTGGAGGGCTCCTAGGGACTTCTAGAGCTCACCTCCATCTTCATTAAGATATGGACCCTTGATCCCACTCTCCTCCTCTCCCAAAGATATGGAACCAGAGTGAGTTGTAAAGACATCATGAACTGTATTGACAGGAGTAACAAAACGTACAATCTACATATCCAGCCAGGCTTAGTGAGGCTGCTGGGGAAATAGCACTAAGGAAGTCTTATCGCAGGAATCATGGACTTAAGTGCTGGATCCTGAGCAAGTCATCTGTGCTTTCCAGGCCTCAGTGTCTCTATCTGTGAAGTGGGGATAACAATCTCTATCCTGTGTCCCTAGTGGGTTGTTGGAGGAGTGTATAGTTACATGAGTATTAGATACAAACAGAAGGATCACTGCAATGCTCCTTCTCTCAGGACTGGAAGGAGGTACTTGCCGGGGGTGACTGGACAGGAGTGAGTCTATAAAGGAAAACCCATGCCCACAAGCCCAACCACCCACATCCTCAGGGAACCCTTACCAGAGTCTGGGGACCAGATTTGTGCTGTCCACATACTCTCCCCACATACAGGCCTCTCCACCGATCACTAGAGCCTTCTGCTGAGTGCTACCTGAGGGAAAACAAGCAACAACAGGCTGCTGGGAATGAGGGGAGTAACCCTAGGGTATCCACTGAACCACCTTTCCAATGTAGCCGTCTCTTCAGATAGGTCATCTCATCTCACCTGAAGGTCTAGCCCAGACCCTCCTGTCTCCCGCCCTGTGCACCAGCCCAGCCTCCTGGGGTCAGCAAGGAGAGCTCCCTGCTTTCACCTTCAAATGCCAGAGGCTCCACCATGTAGAGATCTGTCCAGTCAGGGCCATAAGTTATGTGATTCAGGTACCAGGGGGCAGAGAGCAGGGCACGCAAGCCAGCTCTGGTGATTAGCTCCAGCTCCTTCAAATAATTTACTGGTACCTCTTCTCGCCATACCTGGATGATTGTATCTGGAGGAACCTGTCACAAAAGGTCAAATGGCAGTGATGGCATACAGCTGAGGAGATTTCTGGGCCACATTCTTATGCAAGCAAACTAGGCCAAAGGGTATGTGCCTGCTCTGTTCCCAAGCAGCAGACTATTTCCCCATGATTCCTAACTATTAAGCTCCTAGCCCAGTGCAGAGGCCAGGGGTTCTATCGGCCCTAGGAGTCCTTCCAGCTGCTTCCTCCTCAGTCCTTCTGTGGCCTCCTTGTCCACAATGAGATAGTAATACTGTCTGGGAGCTAAGGGAGGCAAGCAGTGGGGCCCAGGAGACTTGTCAAGAGCTGCCATATCCAAGAATCTCCAGATGTTTCAGAGGAGGAGATAAAGTTCCCATAGAACCCCTCCATTTGGCAAGAGGCTGGGGTCTAACTGATCAACAATGAAGGAGAAGGGAGCCCTGCTCTCAGACCTGGGAGACCCTAGTCTATGTTCGGAAAAGAGAATCCAACCCAGCATGCCAATCTCACGAATCCCAAGTAACCTATAGCAGCAGAAATAACTCTTGATCAGTTTGTGGTGAGGAAAGATAGACAGAAGCACTGACACTCACACCCAGGGCTCATACCTCTGTGACCTTTCTGGGGGGGAAAGGAGAGATGGCCCCCAGTGCTCTGAACATTAAAGCCTAATCCAAACCCCAGGAGGACCAGTCTGTGCAGACGCAGGGAAGGGCCAAGAGACCAGAGGGAAGCACTGCAGGTGGTTCCTTCTCTCTATGCCCCTGGCTCACCTTCACTTTATTATCAAACACCTCCTGCCACACCACATAGCCCTTGCCATAGGCAGAGACGATGTTCAGCAGTCTGGAGAGTGAAGAAAGGGTCTGGTCAGCTCAAATAGGTTCTAGGCCACTGGTGCCAGTACTCTAGGGGTTCAGGCTGCCTAGGGGCCCGTTCCTAATTGAGCAGGGTCTTCCCCAGCTGGGAGCTGACTACTCCAAAGCTGAAAAGATAGAACAAAGTACCCCTTTAGGGACCCAGAGGGTGGTCAAGCAGGGCCTGGTCCTGGTATGAAAGAGAGGACCCCACAGGAGGTGATCCCAATGGACCTTGCCCACCCTCTTTCCTTCCTCACGTTTGGATATAGAAGGACTCCAGCTGCTTGAAGTCATTACCAAAGCCTTTCTTCTTCATAAAGGCCTGGATATCTGGGTTGGACCTCCTGAATCCCAAGAGAAAATGGAGATTAATTCTTTCAACATCCTCAAAGCCCGGAGCTTGGCGATTAGTCATCTGGGTTCCCATCACTTCTTTTTTTCACCTGAAAAACTAATCAACTTTGGATCTCAGAGACCCCAAATATGGCAGGTGTTGCTGAACAAAGCTGTGTAATGAGGGCTACTGACATAGGCTGAGAAAGGATGAGTTTGGACCTGAAGAGCTTTAAATTCAAACTCTCAACAAGAACACATAGTAACCTATCTGGACTACAGCATGTGGGTCTGAGGTCTTGGTCTAGGGCTCTGGCACACTGGATTCTGGCTTCTCTGTTTAATCTCCTACCCAGGCATACTCTGCTTTTCCCTTAACATTTATTCTTTGTTCCAAATGGGTACAAGTGTTGCTGTTACCTGGTGCAGCTCCCTCTCACAGTTCCTCCTGGAATGTTTTCTCCCTCCTCTACTGCTCAAAAAAGTCAACTATTTCCCCAGATCCAATTCTAATGCCCGCTTCTCAGAGAAGCCCATCAACCTCTCTTACGCTAAGTAGATCTGAGGGTTTGAATCTTACAGTTTAATGCCTACCAAACAATTTCATACAGTAGTCTCAAATCACCTGTGTCTTCACTCTTCAACCAGACTATTTTAGGTCTTCAAAAGCGGGAATTTTTTTTCCCTATCCTGGATTTCCCCAGGACATTCTGTGCCCATATCTGGTTCTCCCATATGTATCTCAAAGATATGACAGGAGGAAGGGATAGTTTCACATTCACAACTGTGCCAAAATCAGGTAGGGCCTCAATACAGGGGAAAGAGGAAAGCCCTAAGACCTGAGCCATCTGGACTGAGGCAGATTGTTCTCAGAAGTTAGCCCTGAGGAGTAGCTGAGAGAGACAGCCTCTCAGGAGCTAACCTCTATTCTGAGTGAGCAATTCCACAGGTAGGGATGGGAAGACCAAAGGGATCATACCAGCAGGTGAAATCAACCTCATCTCCTCCAAGGTGAAGATAAAAATCTGGGAAGACAGAGCTGACCTCCAAGAAGAACGTGCTCATGAATTCATAGGTAGTGTTGAGAATGGGATTTACTGGTCCAAAGGTGCCAGAGGGATGAGACCCAGAGTAGCAAGGAGTCAATAATCCAGGGAAACCTAGGTCGACAGAGAACCCCACATAAGTGTCACAAATACATAGACCTCCACACAGTCATATACTTAAGGACATTAAGTTGCACAAAGGAAGATAACTGTGCTCATAAAAACAACACGCACATAACCAGGGACACCAGGCACTCACATACACTAGTGATCATGAACTTTTAGTCACAAAGAAATAAAAATATATCCACTATCATCCAGTCAGAGGCTGGATGTCTGGCCATCTGGATCCCTATCAAGCTATCAGCTATCAAGATACATACTCTTGCCTTAACATATTGCTTCCAGCAGGGGTCACCCTTGCTCCCAAAGGCTGCTCTCCTACTGCCTTTAGGCAGGAAAACAGAGAGCCTGATCCTACCAAATTGGCAAAATCTTTTCTTCCACTCTACAGCACAACTAACAAGAGCATCGTTAAGACAAAGGCATCTGAAAAGAATATGCCCAGAGGTTAATAGTAAGAAGTGGCCTCCTTGGTCCAAAATAAATTCTGCCTATCTAAATTTCCAAGTGGAAGTTGTTGATGGAAAACATTCTTCCAGGGACCAAGGCCGGGCACACCACATCCAAGAGTCAATGCCCTGAAGCCCATTGAGGGGGACCAGTAGACTCCCTCTACACGACATTACTCTTACCTGGTCCCCAGGACAGAGTGTGGCCAGGAGTGTCAAACTCTACCAACACACGGATACCCCGAAGCCGTGCATACTCAATCACCTCTTTCACATCCTGTGCTGTATAGACATGGGTGACAGGATTGTAGGACCCCTGAAAGGCAAGACACCCATAGCAATCTCATTTCCTGAAGCCTAGGAGGGTAGAAGGTACTCAAAATGCCTTCAGGAAACCTACAGCTCTTCGGTATCAGGGACTATCTCTAAGGACCTTTATCAGAATTTCCCATAAGCTATCACATCTATTGCTTTATCTGAGTGTCATAATGCCAGTGAGACAACAAGATAGGTAGGTAACACAATATAAAGAAACACCAGGAGAGATGATCTCCTAATTGTCACAGAGAAAATTAATGGCAAAGTTTTGACTCAAACTTAGGTCTCCTGATTCCAAATCCAGTGCCCTTCCTCTAAGTCAGCATGTCTCTAAAGCTGGCTGGTTAGGATGAGAGCCAGTGTCCTTGCCAGCAGGGCCATAGCCAGGCTCAGACATCAGCCCATAAACTTGGTCTTGGAGAAATTGTGACATACCTTTCTGGTGAGCTCTGGAAAAGTGAAGCTCTCATATGGGAAGGAAGAGTCGTCGACCAGATGCCAGTGGAACACATTGAATTTATTGTATGCCATGACGTCCTGTAGACCAGAGCACATGCTGTGAGCCCACCACAGCCTCTCCACTTTCCCAAGGTAGGCATTCTGGCAGGCTGCTCCACATACCCCAATAGGCTCAGGCTGCCCCAGCTTCCTGGTAAGTGTTCATAGGGTCTATGTATCAAATCTTCCCACCAGGGAGTGCCTGCCATAGAGGGAAAACCTAGCACATTCCATCTTCCTGGGCACACCCAAAGATGGCTGAGGAGGCACTGTCTTCTCTTTTTGAGATGAATTTTAGCCACACTGAGAGGATGGCTGAAATTATGTGGTACACTGGTCTTCCCAAAACACAATACCTTGAAGACTAATACTTCTTCCTGCCATTTGTTTTAGGTTGTCTGACTAATGTTTATCCAAACTGTGCAGTCTATTGTTGAATTTAATAATCTGATAGCCCATAAATCTCAGAGCCAGGACTGACAGATGTATCCACTGCTTTGATTCCATCAGAGGAGCAAAAGAAAAGGTAGATACATTAGTTGGATCAACAACTGTAAGATAAGTTTGCCCATCAAACTCAAAACAGGAACATCGCCAACTAAGGCTTTTGAACATCTTTCCTATAACTTTGTCCTAACTAAGCTAAACTGCTATGTCAAAAAAGTCAGTTCTCCAAACCACCTTCTGCATTCCTGGAGATAACCTAGACATTGGTCCAGAGTAGCCAGTGAGGTAGATTTAAATCACTTCTCTTTTTCGGTCTTAGAGTGGGTCATCTTTTCCATTTTTCCTTAGGAGTTCCTAAAGTTACATACATTCCTCCTGTAACTCTTTAGGAATATGGCAGCTGGTCTATCCCTTGCCCCAACACCCCAGAACACTAAGGGCAAAGATGGCCTTAAGGCCTGGGTACCAGAGTGTCCAGGATGCTAGTCAGTGGCAGGTAATGGCGAGACGTATCCAACAACAAGCCCCGGTGAGGGAAGCGGGGAAAGTCTTCAATCCTGGTCATGTTGATAAAGAACTGTGTGGACCAAACATTAAATAAGTCAGGATTCAAAGGGAACTCACCATGGGAACAGAGGGGGATGAGGAAAAGTCTCCTAATCTTTCAAAATCCAATCTATGACTGTTCTGTAGAGTAACTGTCTCCTCAAATGCCTCACACCTCTACCTCAACGACCACCGGCAGGCACCTGTCAGAGAGTAACAGTCCCATGCTAGCCAGATACAGGTGTGTGGGACAGCTATACAAATTCTGGATTTTCACTTTCATCTGTTTCCTTTTTTTTTTTTTAAGTTTATATATTCATTTTGAGAGAGAAAAAGAGAGAGGGGGATAGGGAGGGAGGATGGGCACACATGTGCATGAGCAGGGGAGGGGCAGAGAGAGAGGGAAAGACAGAATCCCAAGCAGGCTCTGTACTGGAGCGTGGAGCCCCATGTGGAGCTTGATCATAATCTGGGCTGAGATCAAGAGTTGGACACTTGGGGCGCCTGGGTGGCTCAGTTGGTTAAACGTCCGACTTTGGCTCAGGTTATGATCTTGAGGTTCTGTGGGTTCGAACTCCGCGTCGGGCTCTGTACTGACAGCCAGCTCAGAGCCTGGAGCTTGTTTCAGATTCTGTGTCTCCCTCTCTCTTTGACCCTCCCCTGCTCACGCTGTCTCTCTCAAAAATAAATAAAGCATTAAAAAAAAAAAAAGAGTTGGACACTTAACCGACGGAGCCTCCCAGGTGCCCCTGTTTATTTATTTTAACACAGTGTGGTCTCAAGGTGGTTACTCAGGGGAACTGAACTACAGTGATTCCAAACAGGCCAAATCTACCAAACCAGTTTCTACCTACACCTCTTTCTAACTCTTGCTGGGGCCATCTTGAGCCACCAGCACTCTGTCTAAGGCAAAGTAAGTTATTCTCTGGACTCTCAACATTGATAGCCAACCTCAGAGATTTAAAACGAGGCTTTTCGGAGGGCCCCCACTCACCGTGCCCTCAGGAGATCTCCAAATTAGCTGGCTAAAAGTCTCCAGACCTATGGCGAAGTAGAGACACAGAGTAAAAGCTTAGAGAGGTGGGAATAGAGATGCAACCATTTAGAGATGCAACCATTTGGAAGGTTCCCAATGTGGCAGAGGAGAATGCCTGGGCACATAGTAAAAGCAGATGTAGTGCAGGCTTAATGAGTCTCCACACTGATGCAAACAGGATATTAGGAAGCCAGTAGCTGTTTTTACTCTGTATTTTATTTTGGGAAGTAGCAGCGTAAGGAGTTTGAGTGCCCCTCCTCGAACACACTTCAAAACCCACAGGCCTCTTACCCATATTTCCCAAGCCTTGAGCTCACAAGAGTATTAAGAGAGCCCAAGATATGTGCTTGTGAGGGGAGATGCAGGGACAAGCCAGTTCACACAGTTAAGGCTTTCGATAATTAATACGGATCAGGAGCTAAGGAAACAGAGAAAAAAGGGTCCTCAATCTATTGCCCCTTCTATTATCCCACATTGAATTGTGAAAAAGTGATCATAAGCTTAAGTTTTTAAGGAGCCTGGGTCCACAGCTGGACCTAGAAGACAAAGTATTGTCCACCTTTCCTCTTCAGAGCTTGAGAAGGGAACCAGTTACAGGGAGAGAGCTAAGGTGTGGCAGGCAGCAAATGCCCCAGAAGGACTGCCCCAGTCCACTGGACACAGACTTCTAGATTCTGGCAAGGCCAAAGGTAGGCATGTGAAGTCCAGAGCACTGTATGAACTCAACAGCTAGAGACCCTCTTCTGAAAACCTAGCAGAAGCCCTGTGAAGGATTTCCAGAGTCTCAAAATTTCCGAATGAAAGAATCTGAAACCGTAACAGTTGCTCAGCATCTGCTTTGAGGCAGACTGCTCCTATATCATTTTGGCTTTCTTGTACCCTGACTCTGACACCTGGAATTCTGGAGTCCCAGATTTTCCCTTATCTCAACCTGATTTATCATTAGCACCTTCACAAAAGGTGTAAGAGAGCAGAAAGGGGAATCAGCATGATGTTTCTCCAAGATATAGGAGAGGGAAGAGGAGGGGTAAGTGAACAAAGACAAACCAAAACAAGGTTTGAAATCCTGTTGAGAATTTCTCTCATTCACCAGCAGAAGTTTTACAAAAGTAGTAGAGATATCTGGCTAAGTCTACATCTAAGGACCAAATACCTTTTCAGTACACCAAGAGGCACGGCATGGGTCCATCACCTGTTAGCGAGGAAAGTCTTCATGTCTCCTGAAATAATCTAGTTCTACATGTTTTACTACTACTTCTTTTTTGAAATTTCTTGTGATATGGCTGTCCTTTTCAATGCACCTTTTTAATAATGTGTTTAGTGAAAGCTGAACAGGCAGTGTTGTGGTGGGGTTTCCAAGTAGTCCCCCTCCCAGGCAGCTGTCCACTGCGGCATCCTGAGCATCAACCTGCTAGGCCTCGCAATGCTGCCCCAGAGCACCTGCCCAGGCTGACAGCCATCAATCTCTTGGGACAGCTGTAAGGAGAACACTCCCTTCAGGGAGATGGGGAAACACTCCAATTGATCTCCGTAAAGAAAGCTTCCTAAAGTGGGAGTATGTGCCGGACCCTCAGCCCTGTCCTCCCAACCCACCGATGCTAACCTTCCCGCATCACCCCCCTCTCTCCATCGCAGCATCAGCTCCCATGTTACCTCGGAGAGCTCCCCAGACAGTCTCAGAGAAGAGGAGACAATGATTATCATTTACGACCAGGGTGTCTGAAATGACAGAAATGACAGAAACCCTTGGTTAAGGATTCTACTCTTCAGATTACAGATCACATGTTCTGTGTAAATCCCTGGATTAAAAAACAGCAGCAAGATCCCATATTTTTCCATTCAAAGAGGAGACATCCCTAGAGGAGAGCAGCTGCAGGTCAGCTAGGCCTTGGGCTAGAGTGGGAGGGAGGTCACCCAGCAGCTCTGCAGGCCTTACAAGATAATGCACGAGGGGGTGGGGCTAGAGCAGAAAAGCACCACCTGCCTTGTGGTTCAGTTTCCTTCCCCTCCAGAAACACGAGTTCCCACTAGCCCTTAGCTGAAAGTATGAAGGGGACAGGGATGCTTGGAGGCTCATGTCCAGGTTACAATGTTCCCAAAGCCTTTGTAATCACCCTCCTTTCCCTTCGTCTTCAGGTTTCATTTAGCTACTTCATCCAAGAATGTGAGGAGGAAGCCAAGACTAGAATGTTCACTTTGGAGACTGAGAAGTTCCCAAATGCTGCTGCTCAGGGAGGACAAGAGGCATCGCAGGGCTAAGGATTTGGCTTTATTTCAGTCATTATGTCTGAAAACTCTAGTATTCCCCAAAACTCCTTCTCTCTTAAAGAAAATCAGCAAATTCCTAAAATGGCATTGGAATTATATGCAGTTCAGAAGACAAGTGTCCTGGGGACTTGGTGAAAAATCAGTGTGACATTCCACAGTCAACCTTCAGACACTGGTTAGAGTATATACAAAAGATTCACCTTCTGTGTCTCTCAGCACTTAGTGACCTTGGGTCTCCACAGTCATGGAGGCCTCTGGGCCTAGCATCAGGAGCCTAGGCCAGGCTAACCAGAGTTATAGCTCCAGACAAGTGCTTGGTCTTCTAGAACAGTGAATGAATGGGGTGGTACTTACAATTTTCCACCGACTCCAAAGAAGGAAGCTGGTCACATCCAGGAAGGACCACATGGATAACCAATGAATTCTTCTCCGGTTGCTGTTTTCCTGCAAGGACAGGGTAAACTCAACGTGGCTGACCTGCCACCAGAAGCAACAGGCAAAACCAAGGTCTTACAGGAAGGTCCCTAACTCTAGTCCCTTCTGCTCACATGTGTGTGGGAAGAGGCAAGGCAGGACAGGACATGTGCTCTTGGCACAGGCACTGCCTCATCACCTGTTCGACTTTTTCATTTTGGTTGTGCTGCCCTCTCTCCCATAACCCACCCTGGCCCACGTATCAAAGATCTGGCAGCAGCTCTTTGTAGCCAGGCCTCTCTATTTCTAGTTTGGGTACAGTAAGCACATGATTCCAACACCTCAACAACTGCTTCTTTTGAACTGGAGACAGCTCGAGAGCACTTCTACCTGAAGGGTGGTCTGCACATTAGCTACTGACTTGCAAGCTGTGCTACTGGTTGAAAGGAAAGATACTGTTAGAAGGCATATACGATGCCGGAATGTAAATCAACCATGTCAGAATAAACACACTGTTCAGTTCTACCATTTTTTCATTACACATTTTTTTTGGACGAAGGGAACAGTATTACATTCTGGTGTACCTCTCCTCTCACTGCAGACTGTCACTTGAAGTAACAGTGTTTTTGAGGGCTCCAGGTGAAGGGTTTCCCATTTTGTAAAAGCTCAGGAGCTGATGCAGGAGATGAAGCAGATGACAGAAGGATCTCCTATTCAAAGGAGGCCTGAGATCATCTAGCTGGTGCCCCAGTTACCCTCCCATCCTGCTTCCTTCCCTCTTTCAAACAGGTTCTCTGTCTGAGGCAGACTTCTACCTAGCAGTGGAAAGCCACCCACTATGAGCCAACATCGAGCATAGTTCTACAGATGCCACCTCTCCCCACTGGAAAAAATAAAAGCACCAAAGCCAAGATACTAACATGCTGCCCCTTCCCCTCCTCCTAATGGTTCTTTTGTGTGACCTTTGAGGTGGTTCTGATTGTACGGCCCTAAGCCTGAACCCCAATGAACTCCCCCTTTCTATTCTTTTCTGGAGCCACATACATCCACACTGCTACCATGAAAACCATGACTTCCTATGGAATCACAAAGTCAGGGATAGGAGAGCCTGGAAAAAGACAGGGAGAGAATTCAGAACCAAACTGGATCCCTTAATGGTATCCATCTGTAGGCACAAAGAACCCAAGAGCCTTGAGCTATTTCAAGGAAGCCTGCTCAGACTGCCTGAGCACTACCACATGGCCGCATCTCAGCTTGCGTCACCACCAAAAAGCAAGCCAATAAGAAGCTCATTCCTACCACCATGAGCCAATCTATTCTTTCGCCTCCCTGTAAATAACCTGTATCCCACACGAATACCTGCCCTAAATCCTACAGGGAGAAGGAAATCCGAGGCTACTCTGGGCCAGGCCAACTCACAACTCCATTCTAAACCCTGAAATCTCATCCCCAGCAAGAGAGGACAACCGGACTGTCAGGGCAGAGGCTACCTTCAAAGCAGAATCTGTAGGGCCCTCTCAAGCTCCCCAGGCAGACAAATCATCTCTACAAATCCCAAAGACCAAGGAAGACTTAACTGAAAAGGAGGAGTGAAAAACAACCACAAAAGAATATTCCTCCTTAAATTATGCCCTTATCCCTCCCCTCCTCACCCCCACTCCAATCCCACTCATCACAGTGCCCTGATATCATTGTGTCGCATCTGCACATCTATCCAAAAGAGGGCAAAAGTGTTAATTCCCTGGACTTCAGCCTACCAAGTTGAGAAGAAATCACAACTATCCGTGTACGACTGCCACGGTCACTGTCCTAATGACACGAGAGGCTACACAAACACTAGGTTTATCTGCACAATTGCTTGGAACATAAGAAGACCTCTAGCTCTGTTTTTTGTTAGTATATTTTTATTTTTCTAAAACACACCTGCACTCCATCCTCTAAATCCATAATCTCTTTGGGGTGAGGACAGTACACCCATTACAAGATCTGATGAAAATGGAAATGAAAGGGTTTTTTTTCCTAGAACAATACCCCTAACTAAGGGCTTGTTCCTCCACCCCCTGCCACTAACCTTATGGTGAAGATTCTCTGTCCTAAATGTTCAGTGACTCACTTGGGTTTGGGGTGATAAAGGAGATACAGTCATGGCTGCTATTTAAACAAGCTATGAGGGGGAAGGTCCGGAGGCAGTGGCAATGTGAGAACTGGCAAAACAGGAGGGACACCGGGTCATTTAAAAGGATATAAACAACGTATCATCATTGTGGTTTTCCACCTCCAAGTTGCTGCCCTGAAGCAAGCAGGAAATAGGCAGGGGACGGGCCAGCTGCCTCTACAGGCACCCGCACACCCTGCACTGGGAAGAGCTGAGGGGTACGAAGCACGGCACAGCACACTCAACAATGAGCCTGGCTGGGACAACAGGATATTCCGAAGTCTCAAGTGCTCAGGAAGAAGCATGGCAAACAGAGCACTGAGCAGGGAAATCAGAAAAGGTTGGTTTTGTTCTGGTTCAGCTGCTGCTAAGCTGAGTGAGTCTCAGGGCTCTTTTCTCCCCTGTAAACAATGGCCAGGTAGGACCAGATTCCAGCTATTCCTCTAAAGGGTTAGTACTCCCTGACTCCATACATGGATAATACGCTCCAGGGTCCTAGTCCGTGACCAGCACCTATCTCCAGTGCGCCCTCATCGCCCTGCTTACATGTACCCTTGCTCTTTTCTTCTGGTTCACTCAACAGTTCGCATTTTTCTAAATTTGAGAAGGTAAACAAAATTAAAGCAGTACAGAAATATTTACAACAACAACAAAAATTAATTACCTTTGGCACCTTTCCCCTTTTAGCATAATTTAGCCTATTCCTCACAGACAGGTCAGCTCTGGATGTGGAACCCTGAGACCCTTTTTCTACCAAGGTCCCACTGTTGAACTTTCTCCAGACGCCAGTGCTATGACCCTTCCATTACTCTTCTGTTCTCAGTCCTCGCCCATCTTCTCTTCCCTTCCTGTTGGCCTGGGTGTGCTGGTTTCTCACTTCAAACACAATCTAGCCAATTCTCCTAACAACCTGTCATTTTTATTCTACTGCATGCAGTGGGCAAAACTCTCAACTCTAGATCAATCTCACATCCGCCTTCTGTGCACCAACCCTGGCTACTGCATCCCGCTGGAGGGAAGAAAGAAAATCATATAACAATAGGATTGGGCCACTGTAAAATCATGATCTGCTACCTTGGCTGGGCCCTAGATGCTGCCCTGAAAATCTTCCATCTCTACCACTCCTTTCTTCTATTCTCTGCAACAGCTAGTTCAAACTTGAGCCACTTTTTTCAAGTCTGTAACTTAATAACCACCAGCTTTACTCTCAGCAATCAGAAGAGAACTCCCATCCATCTCTATCTTCTCCTCTCCTCCCTGACAAAAACATCTGCAACAATGCCTGGTCTTTACCTTCTCCTACCTGGGTGGAAGGTTTCCTTTCACCTATGCTCTGGATCTCTCCTGAGGCTCCTCTTGTATAAATGATTGCCACTTTCCCCCAAATCTTCAAGTTATTTCTTTCTACTGATTCTTTCCCATCAGCATTCAAATATTTGCAAGTCTTCCTGATTTCAACTCCATGTCATCTCCAATAGGCTCTTTCTCTTGGCTTCTGTTCACAAAGAAACTCTAAAGGAAATGTAGCCCGGGCAGTTAGGTGCTGAACTTCAAAGCCAGACAGATGTGGGTTCAAATCTTAATTCTAACACTTTCTAGCTATGGGACCCTGAGTCAGTTATTTCCCCTCTGTGCTGCAGTTACGTCATCCGGAAAAGGGATCATGATTAGCAACTACCTTATTGGGTTGTTGGGAAGGCTAAATGAGTCAATACATGTAAAAGGCTTAGCCAGTGCCCAGCACATAAGTGCTCATGGAGTTGGCCATCCTTAGTCCTCTCTTGGTAGCCACCTCTGACATTCTATCTACTCCTTAGTCCACTATAATATGACTTCCTTTTCCACCACTCCTCTGAAAATGCCTTCTTCACCAAGGTCCTGTGGTTCTGTAACTAAATTCAAGGAATCTTTTTCAGTTCATTCATTCATTCATTCAACAGTTATTTACTGAGTGCTTACTATGTGCCAGGCTGTTCTAAGTGCTGGGGACACAGCGATGATCAAAACAGACAAAAATCCCTGCTGTCACAGAGGTAATTTTCTGGTGGCCCCTCACTTCTTCTAGGACTTCTTGGCAGCATCAGACATCCCTGATGTTCTTTAAACTGAACTCCCTTCACTTAGGTGACACAGTTCTCTCTTAGTTTTCCTTCAGACTCCTTGAATATACGACCTCATTCTCCCCTTCCGTTGCCAACCCCTACACACTAGTGTTCCCAGGGGTTTCCAGGCCTCCAGACGTCTCTTTGTCTCTTCACTTACACTCTCCACAGGCAATGTCATCCACCCCACAGTAGGTTGATGATTCTCAAATCTACCTTTCCATGCTAGCTCTTCTTCTGGGACTTGGCTCACAGGCCTAAACTCAAATGGCTTAGAGGCCCTTCAAATCTTAAATACGAAATTGAAATAACTCTTCATTCCTCTTCCTGGCTGATCTTCTCTCTCAGTTTGCTAACAGTATCATCTATTGATTTATCCTGACAGAAACCTCCTCCTTGTCCCATCTTTCTGAGTACATCAAAAACTCATTCACCCATATCTGTGGACTATATACTCTGTGTCAAACACTGTACTAAGCACTGAGATTACAACACTAAAAAAAAAAAAAAAAAAAAAAAAAAAAAAAAAAAAAAAAAAAAAAAAAAAAAAAAAAAAAAAAAAAAAAAAAAAAAAAAAAAAAAAAAAAAAAAAAAAAAAAAAAAAAAAAAAAAAAAAAAAAGACCCGATTAAGTCTTATAACTACAAAATCCTTATTATCTCATCATCATGACCATCTTCCCACCTCCACTGGGTCAATGCCTTAATTCAGCTTCTCATAAATTCTCACCTGAATGATGACAAAACCTCCCCGTTGCTCTCCCTGCCTCCATAT